ATTCATTAATTTTTTTGTTTTTCTAGTTATGAAAATAATAGTCACTGCTAAAATCCTTTTAACTATGGAAGAAGTTAGGGAAATAAAAGCACTATAAGCCTATTACAGTTGTATTATCACCATAACTAATTTGGTGTCTTTTCACTTCTTTTGTTTCACTTTTGAATGGGAAAACTGTACGGTATATGTATTCACAGGATGTACATGTAGGCAGATTGAATATATATGTACATATAAAATTACAAGGGAAATTATAAATTTAAAACAGCAAAGAGACATTTTCTTAAAGTAGACGCAGCACAGGAGTAAAATCTGGAAGAAGGTGGGAATAGTAGGGAAGTAGGGATTAACCTAGCTAAGCTGTGGGTCTTGGCAAAGAATAAGATTCCACTGAGAAATATGAGAAAGGAAATGAGTCGGTAACTCAAGAGAGAAAGCTGAGATGAGACAGCAGAGTGAAAGAGTGTATGATTTTTCTTAGATTTGGGAATGGGGTGAGGGCAGCTAAATGATTAGATCAATAGGAGAATTTGATTTTCAAATCAAATCATCAGTGTGTGTTTTAAGTTCTTCTGCACAGTGCCCTGTTGGCATTCAAGCCAGGAGCCGCCCTGGACATCAGATGCACTGAGTTGAAAGCACAGCTGGTCAACTAGCCCGCAGAGGATGGGATTTGAATGGCTTTCTTCTCAGCGTTTCTGTGGAGCAATGAGAACCACTCACTTAAGAAAGGATCCCTCTTGTACTCAAGTTTTGGGGGAATACAGTGAGTGACACTTTTAATTAACAAATTTTCTGGGAACAAAAAAAAAGCTTTGAAAGCTTTGAATGTGAAGTTTGAAGGGTAGACAGAGGAGGCTGCAACAGTCTTGGGGGAGTTCTGGAACTTGAAGCCATTGTTACAGACCTCTAAAATATGTGGGTCCTGAGAACTTCTAGGCAAAAGAATTCACCAGAGTGTTTCAGGAAAACCAGGGAAGGCTTTTATATGAGAACCTCCTGCATGACAGAGGCCAGTGCCTACAGAGGCGTTTTGGCTTGACTGCAAGGAAAGCTAATGAGGAAGGTTTTAAAGGGATAAGCACACATGGTGGCCAGAGCAGGGTAGATGATAGCTGACTCTGAGTTAGGTTACCTCCTGGCATGGGAGCTCTAGGCTTTCCCCTTCTAGGAAGTTGTAAGACAGTTATTAATCAGGATTCAGTGCTTTTTGTTGTATTATGGCATCTCTGGTTTGTCTGGTAGTTCATTTGTTTGGGTAGGATGTTAGGATAAGACTACAGGCCCTCCCTGGTGGCACAACAGTTTAGGACGCAGCACTGCAAGCTAACCACAACTACTTCAGTGCAAGTTTGATCCCAGCCCTGGAGGTGACCTACATGGTACAGCAGACCTCTCCTGACCCGCCCGCTGCTCCCCTCAGTGGTGTACTTCATCCATCTGCCTATTCTGCTCTCCATGCTGTCTCTGGTGAAGCCTCTTGCTGCCCCTGCACCTCTGGCCTGTACCCAGTTCTGTATGCCTAAATAAATAAATCATTAAAAAAAAATGAATGGGACTACAGTTAGTCCGTCTGTTCAAACAGGACTTTTGGCTGTCTTAGCACAAGACTCAGTTTCCCTCTTTAACCAGGTTCTAGGCAGTGCAGTCCATGGTTCTGTTTCCTTATATGAGAGGAGCCGGATGATTGATGATCCACCCTTCGTGCAGACAGGTGACTCACATCTCATCAGCTTGCAGTTTCTTTTTTTTCTGCCTCACTGTGGCTGAGCTGCACCTTTTGGAGTCACACCTATTGGGATGAGCATTTGCCAAGAAACCCCCCACCTCACTGGGGCTGTGCACCAGATGAGGTCCTTAGGTAAGCTGGGTACAGGTTGCACTTTGGGTGTGGGTTTTATTTTTTTAAAAGATTTATTTAGTTATGCATATAGAACTGGGTTACAGCCCAGAGGTGCAGGGGTAGTGAGAGGATTCACCAGAGACAGAGTGGGGAGCAGAACAGGACAACTAACGAAGTACACTGCTACGGGGAGCAGCAGGCGGGTCAGGAGAGATCTGCTGTGCCATGTGGGTCACCTCTGGGGCAGGCGGGATCAAACTTGTGCTGAAGAGGCTTTAGCTTCTTAGTGCTGTGCTTTAACCCGCTGCGCCACCAGAGACGGCCCAGGTGTAGGGTTTTTTGTGCTCCCTGGATGGGGGTACCACAGCCCCACTTGTGCAGGATGGGGAGGGTGACTGGGTGGCCCAGCATTTGAGAAGGCATCATCTGGCTTCCAAATCATTTCTTCCATACATAGCTGAGTGTCTGAACACTCAGTGGCGTCCTTATATGCCTTCCACCTTCTCACCAGGCTGGTTCTCATGCTCATTCTAGCATCAGGTATCAATAGCAAAGTCAGGGGGTCTAGAAAGGCTAACAAAAGAATTCTTTTCCTTCTGGAACTACAGTGGAACTTATTTAGGTAGGACATGCTTACTGAGAAAACAGGGTTTAGTAGTATGCTAAAGGAAGTTAACTGTGACATCCTTTTCAATTGGTTCCTCACTCTGAAAACTTATGACAACCTCCCCCCACCCCAAGGCTACCTATGAGTTTCCACATACCAAAAAGTAGACAAAGCATTTTGTGAAATCCTTAAACAGAATACAATTGTTAAATTGTTAGGAATAACTAAAGCCATTGTTTCTCTCTTTTTAATTTTTTTTTTAACTTTAGGGAAATGATTCTCATCTCTTTAGTGTTCCCCCTCCGTTTGTGTTTTTCTTAACAAGATAGTCTTTGTTCTTTCACTTTTATTCTTCCCAGTTCATTTTTTGCTAAGTATTTACTATTGCTCAAGCTTCCTGTTAACATTTTGAAATGGCAAGTTAAATGTAATTCTGACACCTTTACTGAGGCCCAATTTTTTTTTAAAACTAACATACTCATTTGTAGGTCTCTTTGGAAAAACCGGTTTTTAGTCAAGGCGATAGATGACCACCTCCCCATGGCTACAACATCCATCTTAGATGAAATCTGAAGAATTTTAGAAATGGCCTCATTTACGGTGAAGAATTAAATGCAAGAGAAAAGGCAATACATTGTATTTGATTTAGGACTAAACCTAATGAGTGTAACAGTGGCTTCCTATGATAAACACTCAAAGGTGGCCATTATAATACAAAATTGAGGTGTGTAAAGCAACGAAACAAGCCTTTTATGTGGGTCTAGAAGGATCTGTCCTGTGTGAGGCTTCACACTGCCAATGGCATTGGGAGAGCTAAACCTAGTTGCAGGTCTAGAGCAAAGGACGATCTTCCATTTTGACTATCAGTGGACTGACAGACAGTATAGAAAAATATAGAAAAATCTCTGATATGCTAGTTAAAACAAAGTTGTGGCATCATGTGAGTTCATTTTTAAAAGGAAAACGTAATAAACTCAGTAAAAATAGAGTTCATCGAGCGATTGAGGTCTGTAAGACAACGGAAATAACTTGTGATGTGCTGTAGTAGTGTTAGTGTGTGACTGAGGATCTCTGAGGGGCTCCTGAATTTGCACTGTGTAAATCTGGCCATCAGTGTGCTCGAAGACAAAGCAGATGCTTAGTGTAAAAGAACTTGAATAGAATTAGTGTGCAGAGAGAGAGACAAGATGGAAAAGATTAACATCCCAATAACCATCAAAAACTACCCTTCCCCTTGTGGGCAAATGCCTGGCCGGAGTGAGCCAAAGCAGGGCCACTGAGGCCTGAAAGCTTGCCACCAGTCTCAGGCACCTTCAGGAGTGGAACCACAAGAAAGGGCTTACATAGGTCCCTGAAAACTGGGACAAAAGGAACAGAATCAAAGTTCAAATTAAGATAATGGCAGCAGTCGTCAGCCTCACCACGTATCTTTTCCAGGTGTTCCTACATGTCTCCTGCACATGTCCCCTTCATGTTTCCTTCCCAGCAGTAGCTGGTGCAACAAGCCACAGGTACCTGGGCTTTCCTCTTCTTTCTTCTCCTCAGAGCCCATTTGCTTTCCATGTTATGCAACTTCACCTGGCTGCTTACTTCTGCCCATAGTTAAATGGGGCAAGGAACATGGTACTTGCCCCTTTTATGGCTCGATCTCTGTAACGGGGAGGTAGGCAGTGCTGGAGGTCCCGCTCACCTTTTGGAGATATAGTGAGCTATATTCGTATACTGAAAACTCAGCTAGAAGCTTACGCTGTACTAGTTTTTCTGAGACTGAGTCATAATAACAAATACTGGAAGTTATATGTGATGATGATGTGTGTGGACTATTAGTTTTGCTCATGACAATGGCCAAAAGTCAAATAATGGCTTCTCCTTCAGAAACCTTCAAAGCTCAGCAGCTCTTTCTGGCACTTCCTTACCTTCCTGCACTTAATTTCCTAATGTGTTATCCTTCGGCTAGACAATTATTACCTTACTGGGCAGAATATAAGCTTCTTACAGATTTTTTGTATTACTGTGCCAACCTCATAGGCCCTTAAACTTAGTAGGAGCTCAATAATGTCATGTTTATGAGGTTGGTGTCACGGCCTTGTCTCAGACTGAGGAGGGGTAGAGGTGCCCTCATTATGCCAATTATGAGCCAGGAGTGTATGGGAGGCCGGCTGGCAGGGGAAGCATGGTCCTGCATTGGAGAGCAGCTCCAGTGATTGGATGTGGATGAAACATTCAGGAGCTGGGGGACCGAGGCTCCTGGGGCTGTGGAGGAAGTACACAGGGGGCTCATCTGACCCTGTCTGACCCCTGTTGAGGCAGAATACCTTTAATAGCTGGGACAGCCAAGTCATGGACTTGTGTTCAGAGTCCCTTGTTCATCGTAGCCCACCATGATGCAGGGATGTGTGGATATGCCTGACCTTGGTTGAAAACGATGTATCAGCCACTTGTAAGTAGATCTTAGGAGAAGAAGCAGCAGTGTCATTAACTGTTATGCTATTATTGGTGATGGTAATAATGATGCTGGCAATTAAACAGATAATTGTTTCCTTCTTTTAGTCACATAGAAAAAATCACCACATGGCAAGACCCTAGGAAGGTGATGAATCAGCCCCTGAATCATATGAACCTCCACCCTGCCACCACTTCCACACCAGCACCCCAGAGGTCCATGGCCGTGTCTCAGCCGAATGTCGGTAAGTCCAACACTTTGACTCCAGGCTGATAAGCAGATTGACTAAGGGTTCTGGAGCCCAGAAGCAGCTCTGACTCCTATTCATGCACCCAGATGGTTCCCCCCTCTCTCTATTGGCTCTCTCTTTTCTATTCAGTTTGAAATATGCTGCCTAAGCTCATTCTAAAGTTCTAGCATCTCCACCAGTTGTCCTCATTGGAGTTCTTAGAAAAAATCTTGAAAAGCTTCCAACCTTCATCCAGACTAAGAAAGTGGGCACATCATCTCCTTACTGTGAATTTGGTCCCTGAAGGCTGCCATAGGACAGGCTTTGGGCTTTCATGCTGTATCTCAATAAATCCTCGCAACAACCCTACAAGAATGGAACAGCATTTCTTTACTTTTCTTTTTTTTTTTTTTTTTAAGATTTATTTATTTATGTATATAGAAATGGGGTACAGGCCAGAGGTGCAGGGGTGGTGAGAGGAGTGAGAGGATTCAACAGAGACAGAGTGGGGAGCAGAACAGGTCGATTGACAAAGTACACTGCTGAGGGAGCAACGGGCGATACAGGAGAGGTCTGCTGTGCCATGTGGATCACCTTGGGGCGGGGATCAAACTTTCACTGAAGGGGCCCCAGCTTGGCTTAGCCTGGCAGTGCAGCGCTCCAACCCGTTGTGCCACCAGGGAGGGCCCTGGAACAGAATTTCTAACCTATAATTGAACCCAAATTTTCCAAAGTTGGACAGCTTGTGATTGAGCTGGAGCTTAACCCAACGTGATATGGCTTTAGACTATGGCCATCACACCCAGAATGAGCCCAGCCTCAGATATACTTTGCCATTCCATAACCTGCACCTGGTATCTCCTCGTACCTGGCCTGGACAGTGCAGCTCATTTTTTCTTCATCTAGAGTTTGTAGTCATGATTTTAGACCTAACAAGAAATTTTTTTCGCCACTAATTGCTTATTAGAAATGAGCTAATACTCTACAGCCATAGAACTAACCAGCCTGTGTTGCGGTCATTCTTCCAGCGCAAAAGACTGAAAGTAAGAGGGCTACTTTTAAAATGTTGCAGGAGATGGTGCTGTTGTGAGATGCATTGTCCCTAGGATCAGACGCAGCTACGGCACGTGCAGAGAGCAAATGGAATCACGACTTTCAGGCATGAACGGGATAAAATGGGGACATTGTTCCTAGACACCCTTCCTCATACTTGGCTTTGCCAAGTGAATATGAACTCTAGTAGACCTGAGTCAACTTCAAGTAAACATATTGTGTGTTTTTCCAGGAAGTCTGGACCTACCATTTTAAAGCTGGCAGATGTAAAATATATCCCAAAAACAGATGACTTAGAATAACAAAACCTCTGTTTTGTTCCCTATCTAAAGAGCAGATCAAGGAAAATGGTACCAGTGCTTTTTACTAGCAGTGGTAATAAATCAAAGCTTCCCATGACTCACTTGTCCCAAATATATAAGAGCTCAAGTAGATGCAAGTGAGTAAAATAAATAAATAACTAAATAAATAAATAATAAAAACAAACTCCAACCCACAAATTTGGTAGCATGAGACTAGCTTCAAAATTTCTTTTTAACTATAAAAATCTCTAAAATCTGATCATTAAACCATAAACAATTTTATAATCAATTATAATTAGAAAAAATGTTTCATGAGCTTTGCGTTGTAAAATATGCACACTTTTTTTTCCCAAAGAGCTGTTCAAAAAAGAAGTCTACCTTCAGCCACCATTCCTCAGCGCTGCTTTTGTGGCCTAGAGTTGGTGTTCGCAGCTGTGTGTGCGTGTTTCTTTACATACATGTTACCACATGATCCCCACTGCTCAGTCCCTTTGTTTTTCCCAGTGCATGTCCATACACTCAGCTTGCCTCATTCTTTTGAAAGAATTGCTCTAAAGTCCACCATATTGTTATACTAACATTTATTGGCCCTCAGATGATGGACATATAGGATACATACCAGTGTGCTGCTAGTATATATACTACTAGAGGAGTATTCTTATTTTATGTACTTTTCTTCGTTTTTAAAAATTCAAGAAGTGGACAAGCTGTCAACTTAAATTAAAAGGTCCTTGAGTGCTTGAAACTTGACATGAAAGGAGCATATGATTCTTGCATACACCCACAGAGGTACCACAGAGGAACACACTAAAAGCCTGGTAGCTGGTCAAGTATACCTAAAGAAACTAATCTGAGTGTTTGAAAGATGTATAACAGTAGCTGAATAAAATACCTTGCTTTCAGATTTCTAATAAATTGGAGTAGTATCTCAAGATAATCCTTGGGTTTTTCCAGTAACATTGGCCAACTACAAAGTATTTGGCTAGTTTAGAATCACAGATGCTTCCCAAGGATGGAAAAATAACCTGGGATGCCAACAAAGCTCCAAAGACCGAGCATAATTTAGAGTCACATTATGGCCCTAGCCACAAATCATTTACTCACTCAGAATATTTTTTTTATTGGGTTTTTGATTAAGGACAGCCCAGCACTCATCTGTGAGATCCTGCATTTTCTTTTTCCATTGGTCAGAGAGTTGCTAGGTAACAGCCTGCCTGTGATTTTGGCTTAGGAACTCTCCTTGTTCTCAGCGTGGGGGTGGGTGGTGGGTGGTGGGAGGGAAGGACCTGCCCAAGACAATTTTCAGTAGAAGCCCCAGGTCAGGACAGCACTGAAGTGGAAAAGGGAGATCTGTACAAATAAAGACTGATAGTGAGGATTGATATCTGGATTATTTCAAGATGAGTTTTCTATTCCCCATGTTGACTAGCAAAAAAGAAATAGGCCAGTCCATAAAAAGTCCCAAAGAGATGGTGTTGGTCCTCTAGTTGGGGAGAGGTGCGTCTGCAGTTAGGGTAATGTGCTCTCTTACTGTCTCTTTTGACCCGGGTAAAATGGCTGCTGTGTGTGTATCTGAAGGCTGTGTTCTGAAGTCCAGTTTATTCGCACTACTTTGACATCAGTTACATCCCATCGATTGTATTTTTCTTTAATGGGCAGCATATGAAGGTGGATTGTGGTTTTCCCAACCACACTAAGTTTTGGGAAGTTTCAAAACCAAACAATATCTCGCGGATTTTATCCAAGTAATTTACTAAGGCTCAATGAGAGAAATTTAAAATTTTATTGAGTCTAAGAATATTCCTGGGTCCCTCCCTGGTGGAGCAGCGGGTTAAAGCACAGCACTAAGAAGCTAAAGCCACTTCCGCATGAGTTCGATCCCTGCCTGCCCCGGAGGTGCTCCATGTGGTGCGGCAGACCTCTCCTGACCCGCCCGCTGCTCCCCTCAGCAGTGTACTTCGTCAATCTGCCTGTTCTGCTCCCACTCTGTCCCTGGTGAATCCTCTTACCGCCCCTGCATCTGTACCACTGCCTGTTCCCCAGTTTTGTATGCACAAATAAAATAAATCTTAAAAAAAAAAAAAAAAACAATATTCCTAAACCCGACTGTCTCAAGCAAGACATTTAGTACATCAACTACTGTCAGAGTTGACGAGAAAGGCTCATTTGGGAACTGCTGTACTATGGGGCTGGAACCTTTGGACCATGAGGGGTGTCCCAGCTGGAAAGAGTGTACCTTTTCCCCTAAGGAGAAGACCAGCAGGATAGTGAGGATCTGGGGTGCCTGCTGTCTTCCCCCTTGCAGGCCTCAGAAACACCTTTCCAGTTTCCCCAGTGAGATTTCTTTTGCCTTTTATTGCGCTTTTCTTTATTCCTTAAGATAACGCACAATCCTCCATTTAAAAAAATAACATTTTAAACAATAGTGCTGTAGGTTGTGCTCTTTTTTTTTTTTTAATATTTATTTATTTATTCATACAGAACTGGGGTACAGGCCAGAGATGTGGAGGGTGAGAGGATTCACCAGAGACAGAGTGGGGAGCAGAACAGGCAGATCGAAGAAGTACACTGCTGAGGGAAGCAGCGGGCGGGTCAGGAGAGGTCTGCCTCGCCATGTGGATCTCCTCCGGGGCAGGCAGGAATCGAACTCATGCGGAAGTGGTTTCAGCTCCTTAGTGCAGTGTTTTAACCCGCTGCGCCACCAGGGAGGGCCCAGGTTGTGCTCTTTTTAAAAATGTTTAAAATGAAAAGGCCAGACCATTTTCTTCTTTCTACATCTAGAATTTGGTCTTTTCATTGGAACTTAGCTGACAAATATGTGAACTTAGGACACACGTTCTGTCCCCCACTCTGGTGTTTATGTAGTAATGTGGATGTAATACAAAATACAGCTAAGAACTTACTATCAGATACTGGGATTAATACCTTTTATAAACTAATTGTATGCATTTATAGAGCTGTGATAGAATCAGTGACCAAAACTTAGTGTGGTTGGGAAAACCACAATCCACCTTCATATGCTGCCCATTGAAGAAAAATACAATCGATGGGATGTAACTGATGTCAAAGTAGTGTGAATAAACTGGACTTCAGAACACAGCCTTCAGATACATTAAGAAAGACATCCTTTTATTGGGATACTGTTTCACTGTATCTTGGGCATATGGACCTGAGAGTCACACTGCCAGAATTTGAAAGCTGACTCTATTCATTGCTAGTTTGGTGACCCTGTTAAGTTACTTAACTGTGCCTCCATTTCCTTATATGCAAAAATGAAGATTTTAGTATGAGGGGATGCTTAGATTTGTACCTGGCACATAATAAACTGGCACAAAATAAATATTTTGTTCTTTGTGTAAAGAAACAATATATTTAATTATAGAAGATTAGATTGTAAGACACTCACATTGTTTATCAGAAAGCTTGGTGGGGCGGGGGGAGATTATTTTGGACTGGTTAAGTGTAAAGTGCATTGGATTAAGGATAGATACTGTTTTTATTACTTTCAATGAAGAGAGCGCCCTCTGGTGGAATTGTTTCTGCGTCCCTTCCCATTCCCTTAAAAAACTTAACAGCAGGTAAATTTTTTTTTTCAGTATATCTACTCCTGAAATGTGGTTGTAAAGAAAGTCATATTTTAATTAGGCGAGATTGATCTAT